CCTTTCCCACTCCTAATATCATTAGCTGGTGGGAAAACATTTCCAAATTATGAAAGTGATGCAGGAATTAGGTGGGACTGACAATTACAAACTTCTGTAACCTTCCTCTTAATAAAGACTGGGAAGTGAACAGCATCATGAAGGAGCTCACATGCACATGCACAATGATATGAACGAACACAAATGCTGAGTTCCCCTAGTTCTGAAAAACAGAAGGGTGTAGCTCTAGTTCTCTTGGGCAACTCTGCAAATAATCTTTATACCGCATCAGCCCCATGCTAGTCTTTTGCAGGCGGTATAAATCTCTATGTAAATGCTAACATCCACTACTGTGCTTCTTGCAACCTCCTCTGAAAAAGATCAAGCAGGAGAAAACCCCCATCTCTTTGCAGAAGTTGAAAAGTGTCTTCTACACTTCTGGAATGGTTTATAAGCCAAGAGAAGAACAAAACAGCAGTAGAGGATGTGACCTAGGAATTAAGGGAGGCATGCCCATATTGGCCTAAAATGGGTAATAAGTGCCTAATTTTTATCACTCATGATGGAGTGGGCAGTGAAGCATGTCAGATTTTATACATCTTGCAACTTGATACTGGTAGCTTAAGGGTAGAAACACTAGTACCAGTACAGCTAAGGATGACATGATCTCACTTTGTGGGCTGGGGACCCAGCAAGAAAATGTTGCCCACATAATATGTTTATATAACAGATTAAGTGAAAGTGGAGAAAGGTCTGCAATCTTTATCCCTGTAAATAGAAATTAGAGTTATGCTGCAGTCTGTCCTATTTTAGGTTCTATAATGTGGATCTTCGTTTGTTAAAATCCAGACTTCCCTATGTTATACTGTATTTGTTATTGTTTACTAAACTATAATGTGGCTTGTTTGATTTGGCTTAGTCTGTTGTATAAATCTAGAGATTGTGGTCTATTCCTCTAACTACTATATGGTTAAACATATTCAGTGTGATACGAGAATCCAGCAGTAGGACTTTGCAGCATTTTGGATTCAAAGGCAAAAAGGTGTTCCAGAGCCTGCCTGGATGTTCATGCAGCACCTTCTGCAAGTCCTTAAACCAAGCACATCTTTTCCTGGGATTCACTGCTGGTGAAAGGCAACTATGTGATCTCAGGAAATGATGCAGCTGTTTTAGGGTCTTGCAGATAGGTGTTACATGGGTGTCATCATGTTCTCCAAACCACCGTTTTCCCTTTGAATCTGAAGCAGTACACGGCTGTACACAACATTATATGTGAATCTGGCGATTACAGTTCATGTTGGTGTATAGAAGTCTTTATATATGTCTTGTCTCTTTGTTTGGAAGTGTGTTGTAAATGCCTCTACCAGTTAAAACCTGATCATCATTAAAAAGGATTACATTAATGTTCTTTAAGTTTTAATCATAGCCCTCTGTATCCAGTGTCTTTTGTAGCAAAAAGCCATATTTCACAAGCTATTTATCTTCCAGGATTTTAAGAATTTCAGCTGGGGCCATTCTTCAGGTGCCCTGTCCAATGAGGCAAGGCACATAGCTACCAGAGAAACTGTCTTTTGGGTGTTGGTGTCCTGCCTATGGAACACACTCTTCAAAGAGGTTTGCTTAATGCCTTACTGTAATTTCAATGCTACATTTCCTTTATTTTCCCAATTTTTGAAGTATCTGATGCTTTAGAATTTAAGTGGTAGTGCTATCTTACTGGATCTCTTCTGCTGTTCTCTGTTTAGAAGTTTAAATAGTTTTAAGCTGATTTATAATATTTTAATATTTTGGTTTTTTTATATTTTAAACACTGCCTTGAGAACTTATTTAGTAGAAAGTATGTAAGTACAAAAAATAACAACATAAGCTAAGCGGATACTATTTTCTGGCCTTCATCTTTTTAACATAATTCAGCATTTATTTTATGCTTAATTTCTGGGATGGTGGTGGTGAATCCATCCTTGTGCTCCTTCATCTCTCAACGGCTTTCGATACTGTTAACGACGGTATCCTTCTGAGCCAGTTCCGTGGGTTGGGGATTGGGGACACTATTTTATGGTACTTCTGTTCAACGCCATCTGTTGGAACCCTGGAAGTGCTCCTTCTATGTGCCTGCTCTCTGAGACAATATTCCCCCTGAGATATGGAGGGCCCCCACTCTGCTGTTGTTTAGAAGAGCTGTGAAGACCTGGCTCTTCATCCAGGCCTTGACAAGGGAGAGAGAAACCCCTTATTTCATTGCACTTGCCAATTTTATCTTTATCTTTTATGATTTTATTGTAATTTCTTTGATAGTTGTGAGCCACCCAGAGTTGTTGAGAATTGGATATCACACAAGTTTAATAAATTATTATTATTTATTAATAATAATAATAATAATAGTATACTGAACCATTCATGCTTTATTCGGCTTCTAGATTAGCTTATCTTTGCTGTCACTATAATGTCTGAATGGCAATCACCATCTTGTTAAGCTGTTTCACTGCACTCATCTGAAAGGTGTCAAATATTTCTCAAGGAGCCTCTTGGCACCTTGCCCACTGCTGTCCCTTTTACAATTTGGCAAGTCAAGTCTAACTTATTTCCACATCTTCACTCTTACTGAAGGGTGTTGAAATTGTCCGGACTTCTGCCAACTATCTTTTCCTAACTACTTCAAGAGTATTAGAGCTATGATGAAATGCACATTGCTTTTTATTTTTTACATTCATGAATGTTACTTGAGAACAGTTTAGCTACCTTGGATTCCAAAGTAAAACTGCCCAAGGAATTTTGTTAGGAGGCCTAAGTTTTGAATTTAACAACTGACTATAGATTATGTATCTTGAAGAACTGATATAAATAATGGAATTAAACTGTTATAAGTAATGAAATTCCCTTTTGGGACAAATTCTTGTGTCTTGGGAATGTGTTAGATGGATAGAAACAGCAGGGAATCAGTCTGACCCAAGCTTGAGTTGTTAATATTTTCAATCAGTGGGGAATTAAGAGATACTATTACTACATTCTTGCACTGTCTTTAGTTGCATCTGAAAGCAGGAGGGAGGCAAAACCATAATTTCCTTTTTGATACTCTTCATACTTATCTTGGGCAACTGCACATGCACCTGTAGTGTGGTAGACATAGCCAGCCAAACTTATGATTACGCCGTAGACATGTCTAGGGCTCTCTGCCCTCCCCTTTCTCTCTAGCTGCTTATTCTAGCTAGAAACCCTTGTGCTGCGTACCGATAAAGACATCAGAACAAACCAGAGTAGATGGTTTGTAACTATAGTACTGATCTGGATATGCCTGCTGCTTTGGCCTGCCTGTTGTCCAATTTCATATTGAACTGTGACAAAGCACTTCTTGCCCATAATCACATAGGACTGCAGAACTGGTTCCAGCATTTGATTTTCCAGGAGAATTTCATACAGGTAGTCCTCAATTTACAACCATTCATTTAATGACCACTCGAAGTTATGGTGCTGAAAAAAGTGACTTACAATGGCTCCTCGCACTTACAACTGTTGCAGCATCCCTGTGATCACATGATCAAAATTTGGGCACTTGGCAACCAGCATGTATTTATGACAGTTGTAGTGTCCCAGGGTCATGTGATCACCATTTGTGACCTTCCCAGGGGGCTTCCAACAAGCAAAGTCAACGGGGGGAAGCTGGATTCACTTAATGACTGCAGTGATTCACTTAACAACCATGGCAAAAAGGTTATAAAATTGGGAGTGACTCACTTAACAACCGTATCACTTAGTGATGGAAGTGCTGATCCCAATTGTGGTCATAAATCGAGGACTATCTGTATGCAGTTTTCTTTCTTCCAGCAGACTGGGTATGCAGTGGCCAGTGGTCACTTTGCCATGCATGTGCTTAATCTGTCCTAGAGACAGCCATGGTAGATTATATGCATTTAATAACTTTCCAGTTATCTACCAGCACAAGCCTACACTAAGCCCTACAGATTTATTTACTTCTGCAGTGTATTTGTCCTTCTGTGGATAAAGCCCATCATATTAATACATAAACTATAATTAATTAAAGCAACAATTGAAATAGTATGGGCTAGAAATACCACATAAATCAAATAACTTAAATGCAGTTTAGCATAGAAATATCAGAAATTAGAAGTCCTGGGAACTTAAAAAGATCTTTGCAAGAATTAAAAAGAGAGCAGAGTAGACACAAGGCAGCCTTTTAGGCATTGTCTTACATAGCTGACAGGCTATTCCTGAGAAAGCTTGAATTTATCCCACTGAACAGCATTATTCTAGAGAATCTGGAAGAAAGCTTCTGATAATTTTAGTGCTCAGATAGGCATATATAGGAAGAGACACTCCTTGAAATGCCATGTCTAAGAGCCTGTCTGATGAGTCAGGTCTCCGTAAACAGGTGTAGAGAGTTATTAATGCTTATATAAAATGAGTATCAATACTTAAATTCTGCTCTTGAATTTTGTAAGCTGTTAAAAATTTAGCTACTTATTTAAATTTATTTCAACATCTGAACATGTATTGTGTGTGCCTTTGTTATGTTAAGGTGAGAATATTTTCTCTGAGACAGAATTTCTGTGTGCTGAGGTAGAGATTTATTTAGTCCCTATAGTTTCCCTGGTCAGACTTGGCAAATTGGACATCTGCAAACTCAATTCATCCAAGAAAGGGATTACATTCAAATGTGGTATTATGAATAGCCTTCTAGAAAATTTTCAACATTGAATTATAAGTGACATATCAACCTCGGTTGAGGCTACATACTGGGAAAAGAGCCCTGCCTACATGCTGTATGCCTCTTTGCATTTTTACATTTTATTTTCACTGCAATTCTTAGCCAAGCAACTTGTTAAGAATGATGTGTGAGTGGATGTCTCAGCAAACACCACCCTTGTTTGCAAGTATTCTTGTGAAAAATGTGTGCCTGAAATAGTCTGTAGTATATGCAAGCCTGATTAGAATTAGTAATTCAGATGTTGATCTCTATATTCCACTCTCTTCCCTCACCCCTCACCCCAATAACACTTACTTACCAGGGCTTCTTGCTTGTTTCTTATCAGTTGAGTTCTGCCTGGATTAGTTGTTCTTCTTACTTTCATGGTGATTTTTTAATTTTTCCAACAGACGTACTTGAGAGGCTTCAGTTGGAGGCTGCTGTATTTTCAATATATTCTAATGTTTCTTCCATTTCTCTGGCATCAAGTTGTTTTTCTGGGACATTACTGTACTCCTTCCCTTAGTAGATCATCACACTATCTTCAATTCTTGCTGCGCAACTGATTATAGTTAACAATAGCTTAATTTGGTCAGCATGATCTATGTGTTACTTTCCACTGGAATAAATTCTTTGTTCTAGAAGCTCTGAGGTATGAGAGTGACCATTCCTGTCTGAGGCACAGTTCTATTAATACCCCTGTTTGGAGCTAGTCCTTGGTATCTGTTGGAAATGCTGAACAGGCTCCAAATTCTTCTTGTCCCACTCAAGACAGCTCTTAATTTCATAGAGCCTATAAGCTCTTATATAAATAAGAGAAGAAGGAGATTTTGTTTCTGTCTTTTGAAAGGAATAACTACTATATTTGTTTAACATAAGAAAAGCTTTGTAGTGTTAAGTATAATAGTATAATTTTATCTAGTTCAAGATTCTGTCATTATTAGTAACCTTGTTCTGAAAGCATAGAATATCAAGAGATTGTTAACATTTGAGGCCTAATTGCTGCACTTCCAGTTTATGAACAGCAAGATGATGACAGCTGATTTGCAAAGGATTTGTCATTCATTGGGCTAAAACTGTCTCAAAATAATGGCTTCTGCGTGCTTTCACTTTTGCTTGTCCTCTTTATAGATATCTTAACATATCAGAGCAGAAGGTGGTTTGTCTTAATCCTGTTCCTTCATTCACTGGAATAAATTAGGGCCTGAAATAAAATAAGAAAGCTAGGAGGAAATCTTTATGAGGTATTGGAATTTGGTATGTTGTAATTAAACAGAATATCAATTTTGTTTGAACAGGGGATGATAATAAGGCCCATGTTGGCCTTATTTTAATATTAAACTTAAGACCTCCCTTTTTAATTTTTTTTCAATGTTCTATCAAATCTTTTCACTTTTAGAAGAAACATAATCTGACTTAATGAGTTTGCTATAAAAAGGTTAAATCCCTCATTGGTAGCAGCATGCCCTCAGCTTTCATTCACACCAAGTTTCCAGAGGTCATGTGAGTGATCCTGGACATTTTCGACATATGATGGTGCATGCTTACAGACAGGAAGATAGCTTTTACAATCTTCTATTTATTTATTTATTTTTTGAACTAACGTTCTTCATTCCCAAAAAGCCTTTTAGAGTGTTGTAACTGTTCTACCTTTGCATTGATTAATAACATTATACTTTAATTTCAAAGATCTGATACAGTTAACTATGTTTGTTCTCTGTAATCTTAAACTCTGCCACTTGTGGAACTGACTAGTTAAAGTGGCCAGGGAAAGGACTGGGAGATGGATTCAGTTATGGTAGTCAACACTACTGACTCTCATAGGTGACTTATGGCAGGACTTGGAGGAAGAAAGCATGACCATCTTTGTCCTCCTAGATGTCTCATTGGCTTTTGATACAGTTGACCACACCATACTTTTGGGATGCCTGTGAGGGTTGGAAAATAGATGCATCATATCAGATTGTTTCTGCTTCTCCTGGGTGGGTAGGACCAGTTAGTGGTAGCAGATGGGGGAGAGATTGGCCTTGTGGGTACTCTGCTAATGGTGTGCTTTAGTGCTTAATCTCTTTCCCCATCCCATTTAACATCTATATTATCAACCCTACTTGGTAGACCAGACCATGAAATCAACTCCACATGAAGGCTAAAACTACTTTTATTGAGATTGACTATAATAACAGAATCTTGCATGTCTGATTATGGTATACCTCCTCCTCCTTCTATAATTCAGTGAATTAGGGAGGTATATGTCTGAGCTGCTTCTGAATGTTATCTGGATGTTCTGGACTTAAAGGCATTAGCACCTTTTACCTAGGTAACAGCTTTTGGATATTATTATTAGATTTTTATCTGACCTTTTAAATATATATTAGACAACCTGTGACCAGTTGGGTCATTGTTTCAGAGATATTTCCTTACCTAAACAGAGAAACAGAATGACCAAGGGCAAAAAAGCAGCGGGAATGTGAGCAACTTGTGACTTGTTGCTGGCTTCCCTGTTGACTTTGCTTGTGAGAAGCTGGCAGGGAGCATCAGAAATCTCCCTCCCTCCCTTTCTTCCTTTCCACATATAATATAGGATCGTGCCATTTGCCTCCCCCATGACCCTCAGGAGAACCCCTGTGAAGCCGCCTCCTCCTCCTCCTCTTCAGCTCACCCACAGAATTGCCTGCCACTTTGCTGGGGGGAGGTGGAACAAAGGGAGCCACAGACCAGGAGGAAAACTGCACCCCCACTCCCCATTCTGGCATGTCCCCAAGGACCCGCTCTCTCAAGGGAGGATTCACCCGTCGACAACCGGCACCCTCCAGCCAGCCCTACCTTGCCAGCAGGCATCCAAGTCTCTCCCTCATCCTTCCTTCAATGCCCACTGCCGTTAAGAGATTTCAAGTTACTGTTTTGTTTCCAAAGCAGCCAATCACCACTCACATGTCAGGCCTTGCTGCTGGCTGATTGGGTGCAGGGGACAGAGGGAGATGGGAAAGAGGTCGAGGATATGCCTATGATGATCATGTGATTTGGGCTGACCATGACAGTGCAGCAGCACAGCAGTGCTGAAGCAGCCACAAATTTCCCAAATGTCAATCCCACAGGAGTAATGGGTCCCAGATTTTGGATGCATTTTGTAAGTTAGCCCATTTGAGGTATCTTGGTTCAAAAATTGTTGCCCTATGATGCACTGTTTCACCCAGTTGAAAGTTACAGACACAAGAGTTTTAGTAGTATATAGATTTGGTCAACTCAAGGTGGTGAACATACTTAATACTCCCTCCTCCTATTTTCCCCACAACAACAACCCTGTGAGGTGATTTGGACTGAGGGAGAGTAACTGGCCCAAAGTCACCCAGCTGGCCTTCATGCTTAAGGGAGGACTAGAACTCCCAGTCTCCTGGTTTCTAGCCCAGCACCTTAACTACTACACCAAACTGGCTCTACATATCTCTGTCAAGGTCATCTTCCTTACTGTCTACACTGTGAAGCCACTGGGAATAGTCATATGCTGGCTTGGAATGAAGTATCCTTGATATGCTGTTGACACCATGTTATCTAACTCCACCCCAGACAAAATGGGAGCTATAATAAAGTTTGAACTAGTCCTTGGAGGCTATCAGGGTCTGAATGTGGAGAAACAGAAGTCTACTGATTCCAGAGTGATGTCAACTTTTACTTTTGATGGGGTGTGTGCTCCCTTAGAAAATACAGACTCATGGCTAGAAGAACAGGTGGAAGCTGGAACAGGATGTAGTGAGGATCATCACTCATGCCTATGTCATATCTTGTCTTGATTGCTGTACTGTAACTCACTATACATGAGGCTGCTCTTGAAAGCCACCTGGAAATTTCAGCTGGTGCAAAATTCACCAGTCCACATGGATACTGGTCTATAAGTCTGGCTATCACCATATTATACCTCTTCTGTGGGAGCTGTATTGCCTGTCAGTGTGTTTCTGAGTACAATTCAAGGCACTGGTTCCTACTTTTAAAATCCTAAATGGCTCAGGAGGGGTAACTAAGTCTGTCTACATGAATAGACTCTACTGGCATGATTTGGATCATCAGAGAGTGCCTGCTGAGGATCCCCTTCTACTATGAGGTACAATAGGAGGGGGCTGATAGTGGGCATACTGTTTGGGGACTCCATCTAGTACTTTGCCTTGCCATGTCTTTTTTCTATTCTTCATTTGGTCTTTCTTATAGGCCAGTTTGGTTTCTCTGGTATTCAGTAAGCCTTCATGGTGTAGTAGCTTCACTGCATCTTCTTCACTGTCCTTCAGAAATTCTTCCAATGCCCTTTTTTCTTCTTCAACTGTCTGTTGTACTTGTAACATTCCACACCCACCTGTGCTCTTTGGTAAGTAGAGTCTGTCAATGTCACTGTGTGGATGAAGGGCATGATGCATTGTCATTATTTTTCTGGCCTTCCTATCTAGGGCTTTTAGTTCAGCTTGAGTCCAGTCCACTATTCCAGCTGTATATCTAATGACTGGAA